TTCATTAAGTGAATTTATGACTATATGATATATACAATTTAACTTAATTTAATGTAACTTTACAACAGAGCGTCTTTTCGTGGTCAACAAGGAGCAATGCAATAAGCTGCACGTGTGAAATAAATGCATCTCCAAAGTGCAACTTTTTCATTTAGTGAAAAAGTTGCACCTAATTTGCAACTTAATTTGAGGTGACCATTGTTTTGATTTGCTGCTATATAACTAAAACTGAACAAAATAAAACATGTAAGAGGTTTCAAGCAAAAGGTTTCCAAGCACCATACTGTTCCAGCAGGGTACAAAGAGCCATGATAATGATAATTCCAGCCCATTCACACTCAATATGCTATTTGGATCACCTTCTCTAACATCGTCAATGCTGCTCTGCACTGACCTTAGTAGCTTCCCTGGGATATTTGAAGACTTTGAAGTGATTATGATTATTTCTTACACGGCATCATAATCACAAATGATCTATTCTTAGCTTTTTTAGTAAATGTAATTTGCATTTTTTTTAAAGCGTCACCTTGTTCCTGGGAGTATGCTGTTCTTTGTCCACTGCTGAAAGATAATATAAAAAGTTACATTTTGAGTGTTAAAAGTCATTGTATCACATGTAATAACTCTTAATAAATCACTTGTTGTATGTACCTGAAAAAAGCGGCACAATCTTAACAGCCAAACCAATGACAGCCATCACAAAGAAAACAGCCAGTGTGGCAAAGACCACAGGCACAAGGCTGGACTCTGCAACATAAAACAGCATTGACTGATAAAATATGTTGTTAAAATGCTATAATATATATAATAATGTGTATTTGCAAAAGACTTTTTAATGTGCTTTCATGCAAAAAGTCACATTTACTAACGTAAATACAAATCCATACACTGAAAAATAACAAAACAGGAAATGCCTTTAAAAAAATAGATTAGATAGTTTTAATATAATCAAAATATCAAAACTGATGTGGTTATTTATTAGTCCAACCTGAAACAGGTAAAACAAACATTATTACATATTTAAAACACTTGGGTTTAGTTCATGATTTATTATTATTAGTAATGGTTGTGGTTATGAATATTCATACACACTGAGTACACTGAATACTATATGTAAAAACTTCCATTAATATGGTGTCACGATCCTGGGTCTTATGACCCAGCATTTTGAGTTTTAGTTCATTTTGATGTTTATAGTGCATGTTTAAGCTCATTAGATTTCTATGTTCATTTGCTTATTATATTCCCCTTGTGTTTTCAACCCTTGTGTTAAGTCTCCCTTATCCTTCATGTGTTTCATGTCTGTTTCATATGTTGTCAAGTTCATGTAGTCATGTCAGTGTTTCATTGTTTCCTATTTTATTTTGAAAGAGGTCCTGTGTTTCGGTGCTCTGTTTTGCTCTTTCCCTGTGGGCGTCGTTATGTTCATGTTGTGTCTACTTTGCCTTTCTGTCCCATGTTTCAGCTCCCTATGTTCTGTCTCAGTTGCTGTTAAGTTTACATGTTTTGAGTTCAGTCAGTGTGTTTCCTTTTTTACTTTGAAGGTCCACATCTCATGTGAGTGTTTCTAGTTTTGCTTCTCTTGTCTCGTCCAGCCTGATTACTCCCAGCTGTGCTCTCCTTCTGTGTCTCATTCCCTCGTTATCCCTCTGTGTATTTAAGCCCTGTGTTTCTCTTTGTCAGTGTTGTAGTCTCCCTCATGGTGGTGTTTCCCTGTGTGTTAGATAGCCATGTCCCAGTTTAGTTAAGTTATATTTTTCGTGCCGTTCTGCAATAAAGCAGCTTTTTGAGTTTAATTCCTGTGTGGTGAGTTTTGCGTTTGGGTCCTTCTCCTGCCTGGACACAGCCGAAACATGACATATGTATTATTTTTGTTCATGGCTTTAATTAAAAAAAAACTGTAAATAATGACCAAAATCAAAGTCACTCTCACTGTAAAGCAACCATAAATGTAATTTTACTTTGTAGTATGACTATTATAAATATAGCAAATTAAAATTAATGTAAACTGAAATTTAAGACCACTCTCTTGGGCCTCTTCTGCTTTCAGCAGACAGCTGATGCTCCACAGGGACTTTGCTGGCTCCCTTTCAAATTGTTACAAATAATTTTAAAGCAGATTAATTTCACTGTCAAAACACTTGAACCTATAAACTGAAGTTTATTAAAGCTGTGTTATTGTGTATCATCTTATAATGTTGATTAATAATATTATTAGCAATGATTAGATGCTTATTTATGTAAAGTTCAAAGAAACACAGGCAGAAACACAGGCAATCCATGTACATGAAATGAAGGAACGGAAAAAGAAAAGTTACCCTGGAACTCATTTCAAATGTTAATATAATTAAAAACATCTTTTGAAACAAAAAAATCTATCTTACGATCAGTCTTATTAAAATCCTCCTCTTCTCTGGGTTCACTGTCTGTAAAGAATCATCATTATCATAACATTTTGTGATTGCATGACATGTTTTCATGCTAAACATGATGAAGAAACGAAACAAAAATATCTAAATCATGAACAAAAGCTTACCTTGAATTCTTAACTCAACTGCATTGGAAATGACTGTGTGCCCACTGATGTAAAATCCACAGAAATACAGCCCAGCATCAGATAAATCCACTCGTTTGATTTGAAGGAAGACAAAAGAGACGTTGGAACTCATATGAAAATTTCTGTTTCTAAATCCATGACAGAACGACGCTTCGCTGTCAGATCCATACATAGAAGAAACACAGCTGGGCTTTGTTTTATCGACCACTCTGAACCAGTCTGTCTGTGTTGGATAGGCGGAAATGTTGGAACACTGCAGTGTGACCTCGTCTCCGTGCTGGACCTCCACAGTCTGAAACTCAGAAGCTGAGACAGAGATCCCGCCTGAAATGAAAGAGCAAAAAATTTATTTCTGTCTCTACAGTGTTAAAGTTATTGTGACTGGACAATTGTCAATTAGTTCTGTTTAATGACGTTTAACAATTTACAAGGTAACAAGAAGCCAATACTTACCAAGGCAGAGAAACAAAGTTGTTATCACGACAAAGCTCTTCATCATGCATTTAATCCTGTCACTGCTTTGATAGTTTCTAACACACAGCTCTTATAAAAGGGTTCAGAGGGGCGGAGTGTTTCTTTTCTTCTTCATCCCACCAATGACCTGCAAACATTTTCACTTTTGTCCCTCGTTCAACAGGTTCTTTTCAGGGTCTTCCAGCTGTGTGGTGCATGTGAAACCTGATATCTAGTTGTAGTTACCTGTGACACTAAACAGGAAAGCAGACAGATGACTTTTATTACTCAATTTTACAATACTGGAGAACGTCTAACATAGGTTGGTAGCTGGATTTTGTCACAGCACTTGATTGTAAATAACTGGTGCAAATTGATGTTTACAAGTTCATTATCTTGTGCAGAGAAACACAGTTGTGAGCTACTCCTGTGTCTGTATTGTCCTTATACAATTATTGGTTTGCCATACACCTTTACATTTTCTAACCTGCCACTCATCTTGCATTTGTAACAGTAAGGTGGTCTTTACTGATATTTTAATGGGCTCGGAGAATCTCAGATAATGCAGAACAAAACTGCAATCTTGGAAAGATTAAAGTTTTTTGAGAAAACGTTAAAAAAACCTCAGAAATGTATTTGTTTCTTTGAACTTCTTTTTTTTTAACATCTGCATCATTTTGTGATTAAACAAGAGTTTCAGACAGCTGACAGGGTTCTTGCCTTATTGGTACACCTACAACTCTGCTAGACTTGCCTATACAAAGTCCTTAGACAGCAGGCCGAAACTAACCATGTTATCAGCAATCCTCACAAGAAACACACAAAACATGCTGAAATTATATCGCTCCTGCAGAGCCAATACTGAGTCAACTTCAATACCTAGACTCAGCTGTAATTCAGAGTGAAACAGATAAGCATAACCAGCTTTCCACAAATTAACTTATTTCCTGAATTCCAAATTGAACCAGCATCCATACCAGCATGATTTTGAGTGGTTAAAGTTCCTCCTCGTTTTGCTCCCAATGCTCGGTTCCATTGCCAGTTGATGTCAATGTTGTAGGGACATGCACGGTGCTCTTGAGCATGCTCAAAAAGTAGACCGCCCAGTTCCTTATTTTTCTCACAAATAAATAACCAACATGTCAAATAATCTACTACTGACAACGAGACAAGACTCAGGTTCATGATGTCAGAGAAAAAAACTCAGTAAATTATTCTTAAAAGTAGGAACGTGTTCATGCTTTAGCAAAATCTGTTCTTGCTGTTTATTTTTTAACAAAAAAGACATCGTGTTTGTGTGAATTTTAAAAAGCTTGTGCAATGTAATGGTCTGTGAAGTGATTGACAATGCCAGATGCGACTGATGGAGGAAACTCTTTGCTCATACCTCAAGGCACCGACTTATTGTATTGTTACACAATTAAGATGTGGAAACACAGCAGCTGGTTTAAATAGATCACAATTCTGTTGCTTTTATGCTGTTTAAGAAACTCCAACTTTAGATTTTCAATGCAGTTCTGCTCAGATCACACTGTGCTGTCTCTTCCTTACTACCTGACTCCTTCCACAGCAGACATTTAGACTCTCCCTATGAGACGTTTTCACAGTCATCAGTGTCGTTTCTGACTTCTCCTCTATATTTACGCTTTAATACATGTTTTTTCTCACACAAAAGGTAGACAAAGAGAAATAAAGCAATGGATGAAAAGTTGGAAAAAAAATATTTTCCAAGGACGTCTCAAAAAATATATCAGCATGTCTATTCCTCTCCTCCCAGAACAGACAATGAGACTTTCCTCATATTCAGCGTCAGATCAATAACTTTTCCATCATCAACACACTTAAAAGAAAAGATGCACAATAAAAAAGACAGATGCACAAAAGTAAAGATACAAAGACAACTTCAATGCAAATTTTGTTATTTTTATTTTTGTTAGTACGTTTTGCCACATCCTCCACAACACATACACAAAACTACATCAGTGGGTTATTATGATAAAGCATGAGCTCCACTTCCTTGTCTACCGTGTGGCAGCATACACAACATGAGACTCCAGCTCTCTGTGTGTCGCAGGCCTACGACTTCTTTTGAGTTTTGTCTGGAAACTCATAGCTGCGTAGTTCAGGTCATCTGAGCTCTTATTCTGAAAATCAAAATATTGTAGTAGTGGATTTGTGGGTTACATGACGAAAGATTTCATTTAAAGTAACATTTTAAGAGTTTTAAAGTAAAATATGAAAACAAGATGAATAATGACACTTGGATTCCAAATAATAGGTTTAAATACTGTTTTAATTTGTCAGTGCGCCCCAGAGTGGCTGCGGCTACAACGTAGCTTGCCATCACCAGTGTGTGAATGTGTGTGTGAATGGGTGGATGACTGGATGTGTAAAGCGCTTTGGGGTCCTTAGGGACTAGTAAAGCGCTATACAAAATACAGGCCATTTACCATTTACCATTTAATTTGAAGGCTTTATGTGGACCACTTTTCTACTCTACTGAGCATTTTAAACAATTTGCGTCATTCACACTAGCACTTTTTTTTCTGCCTTTCTATGTAACACTCCATTGAACACACTAGAGTGCAACTTGCGATACTTAGCATGCAGACTGGGAAAGCCGGGCATCAAACTACCAACATTCTTGCTAGTAGATGGCCTTCTCCTGAGCTACAGCCACCCTAAATTATACTTTTTCAAATTCAGTATCACTGAGTCTTTTCCGTGCATGCATGTTTTGATTATCCACATACTTTTCAGCTGAGCTAAATGAATGAAATGATAGGACAACATTGCTTGCTTGCCTGAAAAACATGTTCAGGCTGATATAATTCACAGAATAATAACAAGGTTAAATGGTCTAAGGAGCTTGGAAAGAAAAGCGTCTGGACTTGTTTAAGTTGCTTGAAGACGTTTCACCTCTCATCCGCGAAGCTTCTTCAGTTCTAAGGGTCAAATGGTGGAGAGTCCCAGATTTAAACTCAGTGGGAGTTTCCCCCCAAAGAGGGACAAAGGACCCCCTGATGATCCTCTATTTGTCCCTTTTTGGGGGGACAAATAGAGGATCGTCTTCAAGCAACTTAAACAAGTCCAGACGCTTTTCTTTCCAAGCTCCTTAGACTACGTTGACCTGGATGACTGAGAACCTTCACAGACATACAAGGTTAAATTAATCTTTTCAGTCATGACATACAATTTACACAGTGTGAGTAAAAACACATTTACCTTGATGTTTCCTGGTTGGGGATCTGGAGTTAAATTGAAAATATAAAAGTGTGTTTAGTTTCTTTCTAGCAACCATAGAAATTGTCTTTTAAAAGCAACTTTACCTGTCTGAGGTGTTTTGATTTTTAAAACCAGAATGATGACCAGTATAATAAGTAAACCAGTCAGACTACCTGGGATGATGTTCATTGGGTGTATCATTCTATCAGACTCTGCAAAAAAATTACACCGACACATTTCAGGCTGTGTACTTCAGGTATAATACTGACAATAGTGAAATAACTATGATCCCAATAAAAATCACATTTTTTAGAGACAGGAAA